GGCGCGGCGGGGCGGCGGCGGCGGTGCTGGCGGCGGCGGCAGGTGCGTGGCTGGGGCGGGGCGTGGGGCTAGGGTTCCCCCTCGGGTGGGCCGGCTTATAAAGCCCCTACGGGCCGGGAGTCCTAGTCGGACACGGCCCGTAGGTCGGTTCCCCCTTTTTTAATATAATTACGCTTGGAAGAAAAATAAAAAGAAATACTAAACAGACTCCAAAAATCCCGAAATAAAATTTTCGGGCTTCTAAAATCAAGCCTGACAAAGTGAACATTTATTTGGGCCCTAAATGCAATTCTGAAAAACGCGCTTTTTTCCTAAATTCAAATAAAACACCGAAAAACTCCGAAATAAAATCTTATTTGATTTTATTATTAAATCCTCAATATTTCTTTATTTTGGGAAAGTCATTTTATTCCCTCTCTCATATTTTTGTAATAGAAATAATTGATGATAAAATAAATAAAATCAAATGATCCTATTCTCAAAATTTGAGAAAACTCAAATATGAAAATAACGAAATCCCCAACTCTCTCCGTTGGTCATTGAGTTGCATAGAATTTCTAGGATCAACCAAAATGCAAAATAAAATATGATATGCATTGATGATCTAATGTATAACATTCCAAATTAAAAATTTGGGATGTTACAAATCATTTAGAGATAGAATATCATTATTTGCAAAAGAAAGAAGTTGCGGAAATATTTCCTTGAATGGATCTTTAGACCATTTGTCATGCCATAAAAGTGTAGCATGTCCATTGCCCAGTTTACAGTTTGAATTTGATTTATAATCCTCAAACAATCCCAAGTGACTTCTCCACCAACCGGACCCCTCCATCTTAGAGCCAGGAAGTGATTGAGAGTAGTATTTCTCCCAAATAAGTCCCATGGAAGGTGTTCCTTGTTAAGAAACTTCTGCACATTTTCATCGTCAGGGCCTTATTGTGCAGACTCACATCTAGAATTCCAAGACCACCTTGCCTCCTTGGTTTACAAAAAAACCCAGGCAATTAGTGTAGGGCCAGCAACCAACTGTCCAAGTTTTCTCCATAAGAAGTTCCTGGGAAAATTATTGATCTGGCTAGTGATTGAGACAGGCAGTGGCAGAATGCTCATGAAGAATACTGGTGTGCAGAGAAGACTGATTTGATTAACAATAGTCTGCCATCATAAGAAAGCATTGTTGAACATCCACATAGTCTTCTCTCAATTTTTTGGCAAATGGGTGTGTAATCCTCTACTTTGAGTCTGCCAGCACTTAGAGGAAGCCCCAGGTATGTAAATGGGAAGGACTCACTCTTATATGCCAAGGAATTAATGATCTTAATGAAACTCACTCCCTGTACATTGATAGGAATCATAATTGACCTGTGATAGTTAATCTTCAGCCCAGTTTGACTAGCAAAATGTTTCAACAGGTTGTTCACTTGCTCCACTTGTATTACGATTGCAGACAGGATTAAGATTGTGTCATCTGCATATTGAATGATAGGGAAATCAGGTTTTAAGCTTGATTCAATTGGAGCTTGTATGTTTCCTGTCCTCATTGCCTTATTCAGAATTGTTTGCAAGAAATCGGCAGCAAGAACAAAGCTGAGAGGGAGAAAGGATCTCCTTGTCTCACTCCTCTTTTGCAATGGAAGTGTTTACCTGTCACTCCATTCAAGAGCATAGAAGAAACCCCTAAGGAAAAAAACATCTTGATCCACATAATCCATCTATCTCCAAAACCTCTTGCCTTACGGATTTCTAGAGTTGTGGTATTCAATCATGTCAAATGCCTTTTCAAAGTCTAGCTTTAATAACACCATGGCCTTTTTGGATTGCTGGCATTGATGAATATATCCAAAGGCCCATGCCACGCAGTCTTGGATGTATCTGTTCTTTGGAAATCCATATTGGTTAGTGTGGACTAACTTGAGAATTTTCTTTTGTAGTCTATTTGCTAACAACTTTTTGATAACTTTTATTGTGCAGTTTAGCAATGAAATTGGCCTAAAATCTGTAGGTTGTTGAGGGTTATGTATCTTTGGCACCAAAATGATAAAATGACCCATTGATAGATTGGAGATTAATAGAGCCTTGATAGATATCTTCAGTGAGAGTATAAAAGTCATATGCAATGATGCTCTAGCAGGCTTTGATGAAGTTCCCATTAAAGCCATCATGGCCAGGGCTTTGTAGGGAAGCTCTTCAATAACACTATGAATCTCCTCTTTCGAGAAAGGAATTTCCAGTTTAGACAAAGAAACACCAGCTGGCAGCAAATCTGGGATAGAGAAAAATTCTCAGTTGTTCCCATTCTACCTTTAAATGCTCTCCATAGGATGGCAGCTTTAGCCTGATGGTCTGTGTGCTCATTTAGGTTTTCATCCTGTAAGCATTGAATTTGATTGTGCATGTACTCAATTGTTGCCTTAGCTTGAAAGAAATTAGTGTTCATCTCCAAACTTGACCCATCTTATAGTTGCTCTTTGCTTCCAATAGGCATTCTGATATGAGAGGAGATTGAACAAATGATCTTTGGGGATATTTCTTCCATTCCATCCCTCAATAGAAAGAGGTTTTTATTCTTCCAAAGTGTCAAACAGTAGGATCTGATCATTAGAGTTTTTTATGAGCAAGGCCAGTTGGGATCAAGAGGTGAATGAGGTAAATTTTGCAGTAATTCTCTTAGCACTATTAACCTCATTCACCTCTTGATCCCAAATAGATTTTCATATGTTGCCTTGAATACATTGTAATAATAAATCTTGTGGCGTACATGTTTTATACCTGGTTTAACAAATGTTCTCGGGTATTTCCATTTAGCTATATCAATATCAATGTACTGATGATTTATTTTCGTGGTTGACATTGCAAAAAATTCATTATTGAAAAATAGTAATAATTATGTTTCAAATTCCATTGATTAGCGTTCTTTCCAATTTGCAAAGTTGCAACTAGCTTGAAATGATACCCATATATTTCTGTGATAATTTTGATTTGCGGATAGATTTAGTGTACCCAAGGAGACAATATATACTTGCTTTTAGCATGCCTTCTTCTATGCTAATTCACAGTACAAATACATCAAGAAAAGGCATTCCAATCCTAATAGTTGCACATGTGTTTAGTTTTTCACAAGGGATCTGCCACATCATGTTATCAGTAATTTGTACGGATTTGTTTTCATGTATTGCTTACTTGGTGGAGTAGTCGGTGTTGATTGCAGAAGCTATGGGGCCATGCCGAGCAGCACAAGGCTTGAAACAACTGTAAAATGTTAATGACATTTTATACAAAAGTTTATTCCCATATTTTGGACATAGAAAGGACAATGACACCATTTCATGAATGTGGTACCATAGGGAAACTTCCTTTGACATTCATATATTTATTTCTGCGTTGGGGATTGTCACCCAGGGCACATGGCAGATGCCTTATGGTTTTATCTCTCATTACTTTGTAATACTGTTGCACCTCCTGTATGACTCAATTCACCCATGGTTTTATTCTGATAGTCCGTACCTCCCACGGTGTGCCATTGTATGTCCAACCTTATATCGTCCGACCATGTATTTTGGTTCGTGTTTCGTAGATAAATGAGGTTGTCTCTGAGATGCACCTCAGCTGCAAGTCAAACAAGCATGTTGCCTGCTGCGATCATTCCTCAAGGTTGTATTGTGGATTTGTGGTACTCAACTGACACAGTGACTATTGGGCGAGAGGGCGCTCGAAGGAGATATTCATCCCTCAAACTGACTTAAAACACGCCAGGTACCAGGCCAGCGAGTTGCAGACACCAGTTCGTCATAGGAGGATAAGGGTACAGTCCCAGCGCCTCGGCAGCCCATCACAGAGCTCCTTCGGTCCTCATTTTCACTTGTTATTTCATCGACTGTCACGACGAAATCGATTTTTCTTCGGCCAGTTCACATCATCCACCTCAAAACCCAACTTGCTGCTTAGTGAATTAATCATATTTTCTGCAGCTGCCTCCTCCACAATCGCAAGTGATCATTACTGACAAATCTTAACAGGCTCGATCACAACTAGGTAGTGTAAATAGACTACAAAAAACCCTACCAACCAGTCACTGGAGTGGACACCTGGTACAGCAAACTGATGAGGACATGAACACCATCACTAACCAACACAGTTAATCCATCCACCGATTGTACAAATAGATCCACAATAGCTGAACAATCAGCACGCTCAACATCCTAATCAACCTTAGGTTACAACAACGGCGGCAGCGCTACGACCACGACAGCAACGGCGACGACGACACATCAAACCCTCCTAATCACGACACGGCGATCCCGGCAATTAAGTACCACTACAATTAAAGAGAGCGACCGACAATTATTAAGCACTACAGAACAAGATTACTAACGAGCACCCGGGTGATCCAGAGAAACCGACGGCCGCGCCCAGGCGGACGGAGGACGAGTCAGGCCGCCGCCGGCTCGGCGGGGCGCGCCTTGGGCGGACGGCCGCGGCCGCGCTTGGCGGATCCGTCGACGGCAGGGGCGGGAGCGGTCTTGGCCTTCTTGGGCGGGTTGACGGTCTTGGCCTTCTTGGGCGGGTTGGCGGCCTCGGCCTCGGGGTCCTTGGGCTTGGCGGGGCGTCCGCGGGGGCGCGGCGACGCGGACTTGGGCGGCGGCGGCGGCGCGTTGGGGTCTATGGGCTTGCGCGGGCGGCCGCGGCCCCGCTTGGGCGGGGCGTCCGGCGCGTCCGTGCGGAAGTAGTTGTTCTTGAGGAAGAAGAGCTGGCCGGACTCCTTCATGCGCACCAGATGCGCCGTCAGCAGCGCGCCGTGCTCCTTGGGGAGGTCGCCGTACTTGCCCTCGATGTACTTGGAGATGGCGGACTTGTTCGACCCGTTCTTGTCGTTGAGCGCCGCGATGGCCGCCAGTATCATCTGAACTCGTCCAACAAAAACACAGATCAACGTAAGAAATCCAGCTCCGGCACCACCTCAACCCAACAAAATGTAAATCTTGGCAACCACCGTGGAACCAAAGACGAGAAACAAATACTAAAAACACCGCAAGAAACGGCGGCTCGGGTAGTACCTCGGGATAGGGCGGGAGGGTGGCCGGCTTGGCGACCTGCTCGGCGGCCATGGCGAAGCGGCGGGGACGGGGAGGGGAAAGGGAGAGGGAGGTGGGGAATTTTTCTTCCCGAGAGGAGGTCTGCGGCGGCTGCGTGCGAGCGGGGAGAGTTGGATCGGAATACTCCGGATAAGAACTGAAGAGGAGTGAGGGAGAGTGAGATGGATGGATCGCATGGTGGCGATGGTAACGAGGATGGACGGACGGGATTGCTCCGGCTGGCCTAATCGGACGGTAGAGGATGGGAGCACGCGGATCGGTGACGTGGCGAGTCAGGACTTCTTTATGCGTGGTCATGTGTGCGGCTGCCTTTTTTGTTTGTTTGTAGAAAGTGCGCCTGGTTTTTGGTGAAAAGGCAAAGATGTTCAAAAGATCCACACGTCTTGTGCTGGCCATTTGCTACCAACATTCAATATATTAACTCAAGAAAAATACATTCCCTGGCGTCGCCTTCCCTGGCGACACGGGGGAAACCCTAGATCGAGGCGCCGCTCCTCCCTTTCCTCCCTTCCCTCGGCTCGCCGCTGCCGGAGGAGCAGCCGGCGAAGTCCGTGCCGGCTCCTGTGAAGGTGGCGGCGGGGCCCTTTCCTGTTCTTCGTCCACGAGCTTGGCGCGGCGGCTGCCGGACGGCGCGGGCGCGGCTGCTGCCTTGGATGGCGCGGGACGGGGCCAAGGTGGCGCGGGGGCTCGCGCGCTAGCGACGGCCCTGGGCGACGCGGTGGCCCTGGACGGCGCGCGGTGGGTGGCCCGCTGCGGCGGCGGCGCGGGCCAGGCGGAGTTTGGGGCGACACGGCGGTGAGGGGCTCCAAGCCCGATCTGATTTTGGGCGGTCCTGCGCCCAGATCTCGATGGCCGGTGGCACCTGGATTGGAGAGGCAGGAGCGGTGGTGCCGGTGGATGCTGGTGGTTTCCCCTTGCAAGCGTGTGCACGCCCAGCTCCTGGAGCAGGGGTGCCGTCCAACATGTTGGTGCTTGAGGAAGCTCGGGCAGACCAGATCCAGCACGGAGGTCCGGTCCTTGCGCGTGGCGGTGCGAGCACGTTAAGTTTTGGCCTGGTTTTTGCTCTGTTTCGACGCGCTGCGGTGCGGGCCGGTCAGCGATGGTTCTACTTCAGTCTCTCCTGGTGCGCTGCGGTGCGAAGTCTCGCCCAGGTCTGCGCACGGAGCTGAAGGACGGCCGGAGTCGATTGGGTTCGCCCAGGTCCTGCGAGCGGCGGTGCGGACCGGCCAGGTTGACGTGTGCTTGCCTAGGTTCTGCGTGCGGCGGCGACTATCCCGTTGTCTGGTAGTGTGTGCTTGGCCTTGTTCTGCCTTGTGGTGCTGATTTGGTCTCGGATCCTGGATGATTGGCGGAAGGCTTAGCTCCGGATGAAAATCCTGCATCGACTTCGTCGGTGCCGACGGTAACGGCATCTATGGATGTCGTCTTCTTCCTTGGAAGTGCCGCCGTGGAGCTCATTGCTCTTCCTGCCTCATGGCTGAGGTCTCCGGGTGAAAACCTAAGATCTGGCGGAGCTAGATCGGATGACGGCGGTGTTCTCGATACCACTTCCTTCTTGGAGGCGTCATCTTGGAGGCCTCGACGATGGATTCCGATGGTGTGCATGGTTGCTGGCGGATCTTGGGTTTGTGTTGGTGCCGGCGGGTTTCTGTTTTCTTTCTTTTCTTTCTGCACTAGCCCTTTTGCGGTGCTTTCCTCCTTTGGAGATGTTCTTGTTACTCCTCTTCTGATCAATGAATTTGGCAGTCCTCCTGCCAACATTCAAAAAAAAAGAAAAATACATTCAATATTTGTCCCATGAGGGTAAATGGTGCCATTTGAAATTTCTCGAAATGCCCTTCCTGTCACTTGTAAACATGAAGCTATTTAGATCTTGATTTTGGATACGGTACTACATTATACTCCCTCCGTTTCTAAATATAGATCTTTTTAGACATTTTAAATGGACTATAACATACGGATGTATGTAGACATATTTTAGAGTGTAGATTCACTCATTTTGCTCCGTATGTAGTCACTTATTGTAATCTCTAAAAAGACGTATATTTGTGGATGGAGGGAGTAGAAGGGAATACTATGGGCGCACATGAAGCCTCCTTGAACAGAAAGATTTTTTGTTTGCAACCCAGAAAAGCGAATTAAGCCAATAATGTATTCTTCTCAGATCAGACGGTGCATTAAGCAACACTCGTAGTGGGTCATTGTTTGGGCAAAAATAATGAAACAAAACAAAAGACTTGTCATTTTCTTTTCTTTTTTTTTGACCAAAAACTGTGGGGAAATTCCCTAATGTGAGTCTCTTTTTTTCATTAATCATTAGGGAGTCCAGTAAGTTACAAGTGTAACACGGTAGGTTACACAGAAATAAGAAAGAGAAAAAGAAAAGAGAAATGGATAAAGTTATATGGCCTATTTTTACACTGTAATCTATGATCTCATCCCTTCCTTGATGCTTGGCTTAGCCCTAAGCATTGTCATGTGGAATTGACTAATAAAATCCATCTTGCAGGCACTAATAGAGCATTGACTATGCCTTCAATGATCATACCATTTCTCTAGTTCCATGTGCTCCAACAACCAGTGATGAGAATCTTAATGATAAAATCCATATTGCACCTGTGTTCTGCATCAACAATCATGTTGTGGATGCTAGCATATGTATCCCATTCCATACCATTACCCCACCAGAAACTTTGACGAAATGGGCATCCAAAGAACAGATGCATTTTGTCCTCTGTGTTGCAATCCTTGCATAGTGTACGCTGGTTACAGTCCGGATGGAAAAAAAATCTAGATAACAGTATTAACCCTGTCATGTAACATCAGCCAGCAAAAAAATTATGTTTGGGAAGACATCATGTTTTCCAGATCCACGTGATAGGAGGAGGGCTCGGTTGTCCCATAAGGGCATTATAAATCTTTTTGGTGGAATAAGCAGCACCTCCCTAATGAAATTTCTAGGTGTCATGCTTATGTAAGTCATTGACCATATACAATGAATTTGTGAGTTGCAAGAATTGTTGGTGGGCAATGACAGATAGTGGCAGTTGGAACATGGAGTATAAATCACCCCGATGATCGGCAGAGTATACATAGATGTTATCATTGGTTGCAAATGAATGTAGCTTGGGATATTGGGTTGGCCTTTCCGGTTGTCCTTCCATAAGAGTATAAAATCTCCATTACTAGTAGTCCAAGATGTAATTTTTTTGTATATATCAAACAAACTCATACAGTCTCTCCACCAGAATGATCATTTGTTGGTGCAAGCATGTGGGATCATATTGTTTGAGTAATGTGCTTGCCAAATAAGTTTCACCCAGGGAACATCAACATGATTATAAAAATTGTGAATGTGTTTTAGGAGTAGAGAAGCGTTTTGGGTTTTAAGATTGAGTACACCAAGACCACCCTGTTTCTTGGGTTTTCAAACCATTTGCTAGTTGGTCAAACAATTACCTTTCTTGTTAATATCATTTCCATGCCATGGGAAAGACCTATTGGATTTGTTTACATGTTCCAATACAGTTATATGAACCTTGAAAGTGCACATGGAAAAAAATAGGCATGGAGGCAATGACTGGGTTGATATAAGTGAGTCTATCAGCATAATTCATAAGATTGGCAATCCTAGATAAATTCTTGCCAATTCTGGCAATGATGGGCATCAAGTCTTGAACAAATATATACGTCTCCAATGTATGTATAATTTTTTATTGTTCTATGCTATTATATTATCCATCTTGGATGTTTTATATGCATTTATATGCTATTTTATATGATTTTTGGGACTAACCTATCAACCTAGAGCCCAGTGCCAGTTTATGTTTTGTCCTTGTTTTTGAGTTTCGTAGAAAATAATATCAAACGGAGTCCAATTGACCTGAAAATTTACGGTGCTTTTTATGGACCGAAAGAAGCCCCTGAAGCAAAAGAGTTGGGCCAGAAGAGTCCTGAGCCAACCACAAGGTTGGAGGCCCCCCCCTGGCACGTCCTCCGTCCTTGTCGTTGACTCGTGGACCCCCTGACTTGTTCTCGACGCCAAAAATTCCTATAAATATAGAAACCCTAGAAATAAACCTAGATCGGGAGTCCCGCCACCATAAGCCTCTGTAGCCACGGAAAACTAATCGGGAGCCCGTTCCGGCACCCTACCGGAGTGGGAAACCATCACCGGTGGCCATCTTCATCATCCTGGCACTCTCCATGACGAGGAGGGAGTAGTTCACCCTCGGGGCTGAGGGTATGTACCAGTAGCTATGTGTTTGATCTCTCTCTCTCTCTCCTCTCTCTCTCTCTCTCTCGTGTTCTTGATTTGGCACGATCTTGATGTACCGCGAGCTTTGCTATTATAGTTGGATCTTATGACGTTTCTCCCCCTCTACCTTCTTGTAATGGATTGAGTTTTCCCTTTGAAGTTATCTTATCGGATTGAGTCTTTAAGGATTTGAGAACACTTGATGTATGTCTTGCATGTGTTTATCTATGGTGACAATGGGATATTCACGTGATCTACTTGATGTATGTTTTGGTGATCAACTTGCGGGTTCTGTGACCTTGTGAACTTATGCATAGGGGTTGGCACACATTTTCGTCTTGACTCTCCGGTAGAAACTTTGGGGCACTCTTTGAAGTTCTTTGTGTTGGTTTGAATAGATGAATCTGAGATTGTGTGATGCATATCGTATAATCGAACTCGCAGATACTTGTGGTGACATTGGAGTATCTGGGTGACATTATGGTTTTGGTTGATGTGTGTCTTAAGGTGTTATTTTAGTACGAACTCTAGGGATGTTTGTGACACTTATAGGAATAGCCCAATAGATCGATCAAAAAGAATAACTTTGAGGTGGTTTAGTACCCTACAATAATCTCTTCGTTTGTTCTCCGCTATTAGTGACTTTGGAGTGACTCTTTGTTGCATGTTGAGGGATTGTATTGGGTGTGTTGGGGACACAAGAGACTCTTTGTTATTGTTGGGGAACGTAGTATTTCAAAGAATTTGCCTACGC